CACAGGATTTCACAAAGCTTTTAATTTTAGATATCATTCCGGGAAAGAACACTGACTTCTGTACCTCTTCATATGTGAGTCTCCAACCTCTGTGATTGAAGTTGTGGCTTTTCTTAATAAAATCAATTTGTTCTTGCTCAGGGATGATATCGGGGAATTTTAAGTTACAAAAGTGGACTTTCATGCCAGAAAGGAAATGATCCTTAAGAAGTTTCTTGCAGGATAGGATAATTTGGACAGGGGCAAATATTCCATTACTTCTGCCCGGAACAAGGCATTCTCTTAGGATTTTTAGAAGATCCTTCTGGGTACATTCGGTTTGATGGAATACATGACGCGTGTAACCTGGAAAAATAGAAACATTAATATGGGGGCATTTGGATTTGTCATCAGTAACTCTAAGGATCAGTTGCAATTTAAATTGGTTAATAATTTCGGGGTCATATGCTGGGTGATTCTCATAGTATTCGTTTTCAAGGACTAGTTGATTATTCAATTCGGCTCGAGGGATTCTTGAGAGTCCGTCGGCCACAACGTTTTGTTTGCCTCGTTTGTAAATTAATTTGAAGTCAAACTGTTCCAAATACAGTCTCTGTCTCGTTACTCGTCCTGTCGCGTCTGTCAGTTTGATTTCTTTAGTCAGTGGCTCATGATCGGTATAAATAGTAAATTCCCTACCATACAGGTATGGGCGGAATTTTTTTGCTGCGAAGTAAATGGCTAACAACTCTTTTGCTGTAGCAGAGTATTTTTCTTCTGCATTGGTCAATGCTCTCGAGAGGTATGCAATTGGCTTTTCGCTTCCGTTCACCAATTGCGTCAAGACTGCACCGATCGCGTAATTTGAAGCATCGGTCGTTAAAATAAAGGGTTCCTCGAAATTGGGGTAACTCAGCAGAAGATCAGAAGTCATAATGTTTTTTAACTGCACAAAAGCTTTCTCAAATTCTGGGGTAATAACAATAGATTTGTTTTTACCACGGAGCATGGTGGTCAGTGGTTTTGCAATTTTTGCAAACCCAGAAATAAACCTCCTATAATAAGAAATTGTACCGAGGAAAGACTTTAATTCTTTTGGTGTCTTCGGTAGAGGCCAATTCTTTACTGCCTCAACCTTTTTCGGGTTAGGTTTAACCCCCTCTGTCGTTACGACGTGCCTCAAGAATTCGGATTTATCACTTTGAACTTTTAAATTTGCATCTTTTAAAGTTTGTGAGACTTTTTGAATGTCTTGAAGATGTTCCTCCAAAGAACATGAAAATATTATGATGTCGTCCATATAGACGAAACATCTAATATAAAGATGCTTGCGGAGCACAGAATCCATTAATCGTTGGAAAGTCGCGGACGCGTTTTTAAGCCCGAACGGCATGCGAACGAATTCGAACTTACCTCCATCAATGTTGAAGGCTGTCTTAGGAATGTCCTTTGGATCGATTTCGATTTGGTGAAAACCACTAGCGAGATCTAGGACCGTAAAGTACTGTGCTTTGCCCAATCTATCCAGAATTTCACTTATTTCAGGGATTGAGTATCGATCTGCAGGAGTCTTCTCGTTGAGTTTCCTATAGTCGATGACAATTATGTACTTTTGTTTTCCAGAATTGTCCATTTTCTTCGGAACCACCGATATGGATGATGTCCACGGGGAAGAAGATTCTCTTACTATTCCCGTTTCCAAAAGTTTCTGTATTTGATCCGATACTACACTTCTCAAATGGTATGGATACTTGTAAGTTCTCTGATGGATAGGATATTCATCATGACATAGGAATCCAACTAACAGGATGTTCTAGATCTTGCGGAGGACGGTCCCATGGTCTTCTAGGTACATGTTTATGTCACGACCGCAAATTAATTTATATATGACAATTCCAAGTTATTTCGAAAAAAAAAAGTGGAGCTCTAGGGTCAGTTTCATACAATGACCACTTTTACGGAATTTTCGGATCTTGCGGAGGACGGTCCGATGGCCATCTGGGTCCATGTTTATGTCACGATCCCAATTTCATTCTAGTATCGCAGTTCCTAACGTTTTCAAGAAAACCACGGAGCTCTAGGATCAGTTTAGTGAATTTTCCACTTTCACGGATGTTCCAGATCTTTCAGAGGACGGTACCATACCCATCAAGGTCCATGTTCCGGATCTTCCGGAGGATGGTCCTATGGACATCCAGGTTCATGTTTATGTCACAATCCCAAATTCTTTCTATCATCACAGTTCCTAATGTTTAAAAAAACGCGGAGCTCTAGGATCAGTTTCATCGATGGTCCACTTTTACGGATGTTCCGGATCTTCCGGAGGACGGTCCCATGGCCATCCAGGTACATGTTTATGTCACGACCCCAAATATTTGTTTATATCACAGTTCCTAATGTTTTCAAAAAACCGCAGCGCTCTAGGATCAGGATCATGGATTACGGATGTTCCGGATTTTTCGAGGACCGTTCCGTTGTCTGCAGGATCCATATATAGGAACCATGACTATATTCTGGCTAATTGTGAACATTTGTGCTCATTAATCTAAATTACAGATCGTGCGCCACTTGCAAAACCCTACAAACACACCTTTCTAAAAAAAAGTGTAACAACCAAGGTTGCAAAGACTCATTTCATCTAAAATAATGTTTTTCGGAATAATAAAACCAAAAGATGGTATGATGGCATGTTTTACTTGTAACTTACAAGAAGAGGTTACAAAGTATGCGTTGGAAACATAAAACCTGTAAATTTTGCTTTCTATGAGTCACAATCAGCTGTTTGCTGATCGCTGAGTGAGTGAGTGAGTGAGTGAGTGAGTTTGTGAAAAATCGCTGATTGTGACTTTCATGAAGTGAAATAAACAGGTTAAGTATGTCAAACACATTCTTTGCAACCTCTTCTTGTATCCTACCAATTCAAAATTTGATCATGGCATCTAAAAACATTGTTTTAGCTGAAATGAGTCTTTGCAACCTTGGTAACAACTCTTTTCGCTTTTTAAAAAAGTAGACGACTCTATTTTCAAGTTTTTTCCAATCAAAATCATCTAGAAACCCTAGGAATTCTAAAGGTACCACAATTTTTGAAATTCATTAGGAAATGGCTGAGTTGTGCCATTGCAAACTTGCCGTTACACGTTTTTCGGAGGCTTCGTAGTCGGCGTAAAGTTTTTTACCCACCGTATTCGGAGTGTTAAGACAACCATATGTCAGATGAATCATTGGGACAATAAATAAAATAAAATAAATAAATAAATAAATAAATAAATAAATAAATAAATAAATAAATAAATAAATAAATAAATTAAATAAAAATGATATTAGAATAAATTGGTGGAAATTAAAAAAAGCATATATTTAGTCCATAATATTGGGTAGGTTAAGGTAATTAAAGGGTGATACGGTCAAAATTTGGTCAAGGGAAAACGCGTGTAAATCGGTGAAATCGTTTATTTAAAAAATCAAATTAAATTTCTTTTTCAAGTTCAATTAGTATAAAATTCAGGAAAAATATTCAGTTAGGCTTCCGCTTTTCCAAATCCGAATTGCCGGGCCTTACGCTTGACCCCTGACATCAGATTTTGTACAGCCACCTTGTCCACCTTCTTCGCCGCAGAAAGCCAGTTTGCCTTGAACTGCTGCTCGCCCTTAGCAGTTTTTTTTTTGGTCTTCTTTAGGTTCCGCTTGACAATAGCCCAGTATTTCTCAATTGGGCGGAGCTCTGGCGTGTTGGGAGGGTTCTTGTCCTTGGGAACCACCTGCACGTTGTTGGCGGCGTGCCACTCCATGGCCTTTTTACCGTAATGGCAAGATGCCAAATCCGGCCAAAACAGTACGGAACAACCGTGTTTCTTCAGGAAAGGCAGCAGACGTTTATTCAAACACTCTTTCACGTAAATTTCTTGGTTGACAGTCCCGGAAGCTATGAAAATGCTGCTTTTCAAGCCACAGGTACAGATGGCTTGCCAAACCAGATATTTCTTTGCGAACTTTGACAGTTTCATGTGCTTGAAAACATCTGCTACCTTTCCCCTTCCTTTTGCCGTATAAAACTTCTGTCCCGGAAGCTGCTTGTAGTCGGCTTTGACCTAGGTTTCGTCGTCCATTACCACGCAGTCAAACTTCGTCAGCATCGTCGTGTACAGCCTCCGGGATCGCGCTTTGGCCGTCGTATTTTGTTTATCATCGCGATTTGGAGTCACTACCTTCTTGTAAGTCGATAATCCGGCTCGTTTTTTGGCTCGATGCACGGTTGTAGACGATACACCCAGCTTATTTGCGACATCTCGGAGAGAGAGGTTAGGGTTTCGCTTGAAAGTACCGGCAACTCTCTTTGTCGTCTCAGCGGCTTCCGGTTTTCGATTTCCCCCCGATCCAGACTTCCTGGCTGTCGACAAACGTTCCCCAAACACTTTAATTACATTTGTAACGGTTGATTTGGCAACTTTTAGCGATTTTGCCAACTTTGCGTGCGAGTAGCTCGGATTTTCGCGATGCGCGAGCAAAATTTTGATACGCTGCTCTTCTTGCTTGGACGGCATTTTGACAACTGAAGAGTGAATTCCAAAATCAAAATAGGAGCAACATTCTACACACACACACCTTCAAAATGAGGGGTGTTCAGGTTTTTTAAATGCAAAATTGAAAGAAATACGTCAAGTTGATATTGACCAAATTTTGACCGTATCACCCTTTATAAATAAATTAGCAACATTTAAAAACAACAACTCAATTGATTTTTGCGATCAGACATTTTGACTTCCCCCGGTGTAGTGACTGCAGCATCTGTTGAAACCAAACAACCACAATCTTTCGATTCCCATACTGTTCAATTGTTCCAAGTTTGAGACAACAGTTTGAGATCTTCACCTCAGCACCGGTTATGGGAATCGAAAGCAAAGCGTCATCAAATTTCTAAGCTTACAGTAATACATCATACTAACAAATTGAACCTCTTCTCTCACCATTCCCATCATGATCAAAATCCAACTCACCTCGACCCCCTTCGCCCGCCAAAGGCCAAACTGATCAAGAAGAAACGCCCGTCGCTGGTGCAGATGATGAACCTCCACCGGGGCCAGCAAAGCCCCCGCTCGAAAGCCGGTGCCAAATGGTTGTCGAAAGTGAAGAAAGGTCAGGTGGCTCCTAAAGGTGTGCACGTGTTTGATAGCATGCAGCTGGCCGTAGTTGTACCTCTTGCCTTTCTACCTTCGGCTAACCCGGAGAATCTATTTTTTGTTTTGTTTTGATTTTTGAGAAGTATTTTTCATGAAGTTTTTTTGATTATTTTTTTTTTCTTCTTCGAAAATTTGTTTAAATTTTCCACTTTTTCTATCTGAGTTTATAAGTGAGGATTTCCTGCAGAGTAGAAAGTATGCTCTTATAATTAGATCTGGTAACGTTGCGTCTTGCTGATTTGAATTAAAGAAAAAACATCTAATTAATGCTTTTGAACTAGATTTAGGTAGATTTGAATCGTATGTATATTTGGTTTCTTCTATTTTCAGTGTATTGAATAATTTAACTTTCGTATTCTTCTAGCATTCTTAAAAACAGTAACTAGTAACTAGTCTCTAGCTAGGCTTAGCATTTGGTTGATTGATTTGATTATCCTTTTTCGTTGCACACAAAATTGAGACGTGCCTTTTATCCTACACAGCAAAAAATTAATTTTGAAATCTGATGCACTTCAATCGTGTCGAAAATATGGTGTAGGACAAAATTATCATTAATACAATGCATGAACTGACATAACGCTGCTTTACTGCATTTGTTTATTTTTGAGGCCATACAAATTACATGAGATTTTCGACATGATTGAAGTGCATCCTCTTGGATGTAATATTAAAATTTATTTTTTGCTGTGTACTTAAAGCCAGCTTCCCGCAAATGAAGCTGAAAAAAAGCCACTTTTAATTTTGTGTGTTGATGAATCCTTGAATGATGTCACCAAACAAGATCGATTGGAAAGGTTTCAAAATTTGGAAAGTTTACTGCACGGCTGTAAACTTTCTAGAGATGAAAATCGGTTACGTCATTCTTGGATCCACCAATTTCCAAAGTGACCATCTACTAACATTCCCCCCATTCTATTCTCATCCTCTCACTCGTCGTCGTCGTCGGTCTTCCGTCGTGTCCTACATTGATCCAACAACCCAACAACCGACCACAGACTCCACCGCTCTGTCCGCCATGCATCTGTCTCCCCTCGGCTCGCAAGTCAGTTTCACCACTGCCAATACGACCCGAATCGAGAACGTTGCCGATTGGGCAGAAATCTCCAAAAAGTACCGAGAGCTGGTGGGCATCGATTCCGAGGATGGTGGCTCCGTGAAGGACTCGGAGGGTGACAACCGTTCGATGGTCAACGAGGGCAACAACCAGCAGATGGGCAACAACGTGAATGCCAATCAGGTTTAACGGTGGCGGGGTAGGAGGAACGGACAGCAGCCACCTACCAGCATCTGGACGACTGCTAGAGAGAGACTTAGACGCAGCAACAAAATGATAGGTTTTTGTATTCAATCATCGACGAAGCACTCGTTTTGCGGGGCTTTGTGCGTTCAAATACTAGAATTCTGGTGATAGGTCATTTGTAAATATCAGTCCGTTTCGCTTGTACATAGTTGCATATAAGAGGAAGTTCGAGGTTAATCGATGAGAAAGTGCTTCAGGTTCGTTCTTTTGGAAAAGTTTCTAAATTTTTGAGCTACATAGTTTTAACGTCCGTCATTTATGAATTCAAATGATGCGGAATAGGTTAGGTAAAGGTCTTTCTTGTATATAAAGTTGGTTCCATTGAGGGCAGCGCTAGGAAAATTTGTAAAATTTGCTGTAAAAAAATGTACATTTTGAAGAGCAAGATGAGAAAAATATATTTTATAATTAATTCGATGAAATGGGACTTTTTTTTCTCGATATCACAAATGATTATTTCAGTGTCTACCAGGGGGTAAGTCACTCTGCCACCTTGTGCTAACACCCACAAAAACACACTTCGACACACTTCAAACACCCACTAACACGCGTCCGTCGCATGAAAAGCTGATGTTTTCATGAATTCTGGCACCACTGCCATTAATTTTTACGTTTGTTGATCAATTGGCGTTGACGGCGACTCTATAGCTCTTTACTCCTATGAGAAAATCCATAAGCAAACGTCAGACTGTACGTGAAACATGGCGGACTTTGTACTATCCTTTTACTCCACCGAAAGTCCCCATAAGAAACTGTCTAAATTTGCTGGGAGAGCAAATTTTTCGACGGTGCCGTCAACGCCAATTTAGTTGTTTGTTTTCTTCCAAGGCCCAATCGCTTCAAATAGAACAGTGAATTATTCTCTGCCACCAGTTGTTGCTGCTGTTGCGGTGGCATTCCAAATTTGTCGAATTTTCTACCGGGGGACAGGTATCAGAATTTCATTTCATCTTCAGCGCGTTTGGCTTCGCTTTCCCTGAGTTGCTCTTTACGGACGTACGGCTGTTTATTTGAACGGTTTAGAGATAGGAGCATTGTCAGGACATATTTTGGGAATCTAGCAGGTAAGCGTTAGATCTCATAAGTTAGGATTATTGTGGTTATAGCTAATGGAATATATTATATTTTAGATGGTTTACAACATTGTGCAGATGAACTCGTTCCTAGAAAGCTACCTAATCAACTTGAAACGAATTCTTATCTCCACAAAAAATGTAAAATAAATCGACTTAGTGAAACAAGCTGGACGAGAAAGCAGCGGAACACCAACGTGAAGATGCCAAGGATGGTGACCATCTGGAACAAATTCGGAGGATATTAAACGAGTAATTCCAGTAAAGAATAAAATGTTTCATAATTTAGTTGTGATGAGAACTTTTAATGGTTAACTGTTAATGAAAAAAATCTTACAGTTACTCCCAGTCGAGCTCCCAGCTTTATTAGGCTTCCATATTAAATTTAAAAAGGTTAGAAAAGTCAACAATGTTTTGTCGGTAGGTACGGCTAAATCTTCATCTTGGTTGACCCACGAAACGCTATAAATTGTATGCTTCGTTGAAATGCCTGGCGGTGGTGGTGCAACGGAAGCCGATCCCAGTGGTACGGATATCGGATCGTCGCCTTCGATCTTGATATTCACCGATTCCACATTGATCGAGCCATTCTAATTCATCAAAACGGATTGTACAGCTTCTCAACTGTTCGCAGGGTTGGTCCCGAATTGTCAATTTTCACATTCAAATTGAATCTGAAACAAGCATTAAAAATATAGTCCTATATGAATAACGCTTGAGTGGCATAAAGTTTACCTTATTACATCACGATTGATTCCATATTCGTTGAAGATTTCATCGATGCTCATCAGCAAGTCTACGCTTTGGATCTGGTGGCTCGGCATTGTTCTTTTTAGCTTCATCCTTTAGCATTCGCTGGCCGATGCGGAACTTTTCTTTTATCTTTTCCTTCAAAAAATCCATCTTTATCGCTTCGACCAACATTACGTTCTTGGGTTCCCACTACTGGATCTGCATTAGCACTGAAACTCATGTATTCGATCGACATCTTAAATTCAACCACCTGTAGATTCTCGAACTCCAACTTTTTTACTCCACCGAGAATCTTGTGTCCGACCGTTCCCTGGAGGAGGCAAAAATATTATTTTTAGGCGCCCGTTTCAAGGACAAACCTGCACACAAACAAATAAAAAGGAGCCGCAGGAGGATCTGTCATTATCAGCGTTATGTTATGATTGAGGATATGGTTGCCAGTAAATATATTTCTTCGGTTGTAGTTTTGACAGCTCGGTCAATAGGACGAAACAGACACAATGTGGTAGAGTGACTTACCCCCTGGTGTCTACATTTCAAAGCGGCGTACAGCTTTCCCCCGAAGAACGCGTTACCCACTGAGTTCAACCCACCGCTTTGTCTCGGTGGGTTTTCAACCAAGCGCTCTGATTTTCTGCTAGTGACTAGTTCTCCATTGACACTACTCACATGGAAAAATCAGACCGGCTGTCTTACGAATGCTTGGGATGATTCCAGTTGTTAGCAGACTTGGTTCATCACGTCGCAATTTGGATAGAATCTCCTTGGTACATTCTATAGATGTTTTTGACCAATACTCCTTTAACGTTCCTGGTCTGATGTTTCTATTTTTTGGGTGTTGCAGGTAGTACGTTTGCGTCTTTGAATCGATTAAGGTAGGAGTTTCTGTTTATCAACTTGTGTTTTGTTACAACATAACTCAACCCATCTGTGAATCCGTCATTATCATGTATTTCCAAACATGGAAACTTCTGCAAAACATTCTTTGCAACCGCTTCCATAGTACACAGAAAAAATTTCTGAATTTTAACTATCGCGTAAAATCTCCCTTCGTTTTATTTTGAGCTATACTTGGCATAAACAGCGAAATCGTTTACAAGCTTGCATACAATATTGCTAATTTATGCGATATTGCGCGTAAATTTATGCCAAATGTAGAGTTAATTTTATGTGCGCTATATCTCGCAGAAATTTACATGAATTTTTCGAACGGTGTATCGGCGCGAATGAATGTGTCTATCGCCCTTACACGGTAAGAAAAAAGTACCCAAAATTGAGTTCCTTTCACTCATCACGTGGCTTCCGTGGGGCTAGGTAAAATTAAGTTAAAGAAGAAAACTCAATTTTGAGTAATCCTGGCGTTGACCAAGTTGACAAAAAAAATAATAAAACGGAGCAGACTGGAACCGAACCATGGACGTTGAGATTACGGGGCCCGTGTGTTGACCACTCGTCTCTCAACGCTTGTGAAAATGAAATGGTTAAAGGCGCATAAAAGCAACCTCAATGAAAATAAACTTATATTTGAGTTAATTTATTATTACTCAATAGTTGAGTAAATTTTAACCAACGCCGCTTTTCTGATTCACTCAACGGCGGACCTCAAATGATAGAACCCAACGTTGAGTTTTTTTTAAACTTAATTTTGAGTATTTTTTCTTACCGTGTAGTTGATCAACAATGCAATTGATTTGTCCACTCATTTCCAATTTCTTTAGTCGCAGCTCTCTCGGGATCTGATCAGAAGCGTTTTTCAGTTTGAACTCCTGCACCGTTCGAAAAATTCATGTAAATTTCTGCGAGATATAGCGCACATAAAATTAACGCTAGATTTGGCATTAATTTATGCGATATTTCGTGTAAATTTAAGCGCAATATCGCATAAACTAGCAATATTGTATGCAAGCTAGTAGACGATTTCGCTGTTTATGCCAAGTATAGCACAAAATTGAACGAAGGGAGATTTTACGCGATAGTTAAAATTCAGAATTTTTTTATGTGTGGAGACCTTCCAGACGTGATAGTGTGTTGTCACTTAATTTTTCCCATTTGATTTCGAATGATCGGACCTTCATGTCGTTTGATGCTTGTTTTTGTAAGCAGATTGCGATGGAAAAACGGATATCAGCGAAAAAACTCAAAGACGCGTGCTACTCAAGAAAAGGAACAACTTCCACACTCCTCCTGAATTACCACTAACACCTGGATCCTACCTATCGACCCATCAACTCATGAACCGGGGACCAACGGCTTTACTTCCCTTCCGAAGGAAGGTGTGATCAGAGATGTTATGCCTCAGAACATCCCGGCGGCGCCGACTGGGATTGAACCCATGTATGCTGGGGTGAGAGGCAATTACGCTTACCACTACACCACCGGCGCCGCTTGAAGGGCAGTATGTCAACACGATGGTCTTACGCTCACACAACTCCCTGATTAAATGACTCTTGGTTTCAATATGCTTCATTCTGCCGCTTGCACGCTTCGCCTTCGCAAAACATATGCACCCTGATTGTCTTGGAAAAGAATTGTCGCTTCATTTTGGGGCTCACCCAGATCCTTTAGCAATCGTCTAATCCAGATGGCTTCTTGGCACTCTACGGATAGCGCATTGTACTCTTCCTCAAGCGATGGTACGAAGCTACGGAATCCTAACCCTTACTAGTCCAACTGATAGGACCTCCACCCAAGAAAAATACAATCCCAGAAGTGGGCTTTCTCATTCGCTGTTCACCCGCCCATTCTGAGTCCGAGTACCTGATCAATTTCCAGGCCTTCCCGGGACTGAACTTCAGTTTCCGGCACTTCGCCCAGTCGCTTTGGTTCGGCTCATTCACTTTTCTTCCCAACAGTCTCACACTTATAGAAACATCCGGTCGTGCATTCACCACTAAATGAAGTAACGCTCCCACCAGACTACGGTAACATCCCAAGTAACATAAAGTTCTGATAAAAGGCTATTTGTGGCTTAAGCAGCTTAGTTGGTGATGGTCTTCAGAATTCTAAGCAGCCTCATTTTTAAGTCGTTATAAGAACTTGAAAGTTCCGGTAATTGAAGAGCATTCTAAGCAGCTTCTGGCGGAACTTGAACGGAACTTTTAGAAAATAAATTAAAAAAAGGTTTTTGTCCTCTACACCAATTCTATGTTTAGTTCGCACTTTTATGAAAGTTATTTCTAAAGGCAGGTATTAATGTGTATTGATTTATCACAGCATTAGTAAGTAGAATTATTGGAGCTGTTTGAAGAATTAAACCCAGTCCTTTCAGCGTGAGAGAGCCCCACAGCACGAACCGCTGCGTCATCTGAAATATATTAAAGTGAGCTGTTTTCCCGCCTACTGTTGGAGTTTTCAGTGCCAGCTGACTGACTTGAATACGAAACACAACACCTTGATGAATTTTAAATTGGTATTTGCCCGCGTGGTATTCCAACACATTTGTGGCGCAGTGGTTAGCGTTAGTAGATCGCATGCCAAATACACGGGTTCGAATCCAGGAA